GGGGGGCAGAGCAGAGAGTCAGAGACTGACAGTCATGGCTGTCTGCTCAGAGAGAAGGGGGACAACTGAGGATCTGCAGTGTTTGATCGCTCAGTTCTCACTGCAGAGCTGGCGGAGGACAGATGCAGCATAGATTCAATCCTGCATCCACCTAGGCGAGTAAAAAATACTGGGAGCTTTTAAAACAGCAGTAGTGTTAGCTGTATAAAGTCACGTTGAAAAATTTTTAAGCATTTAGTTGCGTTTTTTTTTTTTTTTTTAAACACACAAAAAATTTTTTTTGTATAAAATTTCTGCTCAAATAAAGACCCTAAAATGCCAGTTTGCCACGTTTTTTTTTACCGTGTTTTTCTGCGTTTACCAGCATTAGAGTGTTTTTACAGCTAAACAATTCCTCCAGAAACCCACTAGTTCTGAGTTTTTTTTTTCCAGCCAAAAATGCTGATTAAAGCCTATGGACACATAGGATAACATACTGGGAAGTTTACTGGCTGTAGAAAAAAAAAAAAAAAAAAACCACCAAAAAGCCAAAAACAGCAGCTGCAAAAACGTCCAGTATGCATGAGGACTAAATGACTTTTTTTTTTTTAAAGTCCACACGTTTATTTTAAAATTCCATGGTACTTTTCACATTTTTACATACTTTAATATTTTTCGGTTCACCAAAAAAGAAGTGTTTGTTTTTGACTCAGCCAAAAGGTTTTAAAGAATAAAAACATTCTGACAACATTTTTTACATTAAGCTGATCCCTTTTACAAGTACAGCATAACAATAACTGAAAGGACTATTTTTTGCTACCTTCAAAAGGTAACATTATATACTTATTGGTCAGTCTGGAGAGATGGTAGTGTTAGGCAGGCCATAAATTATACATTTTTTTTTTTGTTCAACCAGTGGAATGGATGAAAAAACAAAAATGTGGTGATTCTCCCATTCACACATTGATGCTTATTGGGGGAATCACTCTTGCTGAGCTATTGTGTTCTCATGGCTGTGATCAGAGTGATATAGCTGGTGGCACGGACCATTTGGAAAAAATCTGATAGGGCGGTTGTACAGAAGTTGATTGATAGACTTTAACCACTTGAGTCCCTAGTTCTATATAAAAACAGCACAGTACCCATTCTCAGTGGCTCCTACAGGTTCCAGTGGGGGAGCATGAACCTGTAGGAGCCACTGACACCTCCAGCACTAAGCTTAGCTCAGAAGCTGAAACGATCAGCTCCTGGGCTTCTGATGATTACAGGAAAATGCTTTATTTCCTCATTTTATTTTTAAAAAAAAGGAAATAGTGTATTTAAATTTGCTTCCAAAATTCTCAAAAAAATTATTTGTAATCTATTAGGGTATACTACAAATGCAAAATGGTATAATGTGCAGAAGGAGATATGGCCACCAACCAACCACTCAGTGTCTGCTACCCGCTCTGTTGATCCCTCCACTGGCTTCCACTCATTCAACGAATTAAATTGAAGATACTAACAACAACTTACAAAGCCATCTACAACTTGGCCCCCAGCTGCATCAGTAACCTTGTCACCTTGTCCTCCCAAGGCCTCCAGTTCCCTTGTCACTTCCTCCCATGCTCGCCTCCAGGACTTCTACAGATCCTTCTCTTCCATCCTCTGGAACTCCCTATCCCAACCCCAATCTGCCCGACTATCTCCTACCCTGTCCACTTTGAGATGATCACTAAAAACTCATGTCTTCAGAGAGGCCTAGCCTGGTTTTCTCCATCAGCCCATCCCCCACAGTTATTACCTTTTCTATCTCTTGACCCACCCTCTAGATTGTAAGCTCAAACAAGAAGGGCCCTCGGTTTCCTCCTATATTAAATTGTATTGTAATTTGTACTGTCTGCCCTTATGTTGTAAAGCGCTGCACAAACTGTTGGCGCTATATAAATCCTGCATAATAATAATAACCAAAAAAAAAAATGTTCTGCGACGCAAAGGGGTTTAGGGAGAATAAGGCCTGGACATGCAAGTGGTTAAGTTCATTAGCTATAGTCAAAAAAATCATAAAAACCTATAAACCTGCCATAGTAGCCCTTTCTTTACACATTTCAAGGTTAAAAAACGTCCGGCAGGAGTTTAACAAACAATTATTCCTAACAAGCAATACATTTTTTTGCATTTCAATGGTTTTTATCAACTTTTTAAACGTTTTAACAAAGAAGGACATGAGCAAAAGACACGCCCACACAGGGGCTCTCAATGGCACATTAAAAATAAGAGAACAACGTTATAACACCAGCATTGCAGAAGGCGCGCCCACGCAGGGGCTATCAATGGCACATAAAATACAAAAACAGCGATATAACACCAACAGAAACTCAAACCATATGCAAAGATCTATCGCCTCACAGAAATCAAACAACAATAAAGAGGGAAAAAAAAAAAAAAAAGAGTAGAGAAGGAAGAAGACAAGACCAGAAGCAGGGGTCTGGGAACGCCAACCCCGAACTGCATCATACACCCAGACTAGCCCGTGGGGGAACGTGGGAAAAGCATGTCAACCAAGGCTCCCATATTTTCAAAAAATTTCTGTTGGGAGTCATTACGGATAATCGACATCTGTTCATTGAGCATCAAAGTGGTCATACAGCACCCCCTGAAGAGGGACATGTGACGATCGCACGTCAGATCCCTGACCTTCTCACCAAACTCATGACCGAAGGACTAGCCAATCTAAAACTGCGATGTCACGTGCGTAACAATGCCACACCCAGCTGCCCCCTGCACAACGATTTTCCAGCTCACTGGACCACAAATCGATGTAGCGGCAGCCGAGCGCGATTGTTACTGGGTAAGGTTAATTACGCAATTAACCCTTCACACTGCCCCCACCTCCTTTTTGTACAGAGAAAGAGGAAACTCGGCAATATCAGCAATAACACTAGGATGGTGGAAATAAACGTCTTTATACCACTGTCACCACAGACAGGTTATACAGAGGGTTAAATACGCATAGTAGCGCTCTTCAGTGGCAGGAATTCGTAAGTTGCATTAAGGAGCTTTAGAAACAGTTCAACACTTTCAGAAAGAAAGATTTATTACTAAAAGGTCAAAAGGGTGCAATAAAAATATTTACAGAAACAAGATTTAACCTATATACAGTTGCAAGAATAAGTATGTGAACCCCTTGGGATTACGTGGAGTTTTGCATGAATTGGGCATAAAATGTGCTCTGAACGTCATCTAAGTCACAACAATAGAAGAACACAGTCTGCTGAACATAAAACTACACAAACATTAGATGTTGCCATGGTTTAATTGCACATAACATGTAAACATTTACAGTGCAGGGAGGAAAAAGTATGTGAACCTTTGGACTTAACTGGTTGACCCTCCTTTTGGCAGCAATATCCTCAACCAAACGTTTCCTGTAGTTGCAGATCAGACCTGCACAACGATCTGGAGTAATTTTGGACCACTCCTCTTCACAAAACTGTTTGTCAGGAATGGACTTGCCAGTAATGGTGGGACTCACCTGCCTTGTGGGCTGCAGTACCAGGGCAGGCCAGCGGGTGCTCTCAGCAATCAGAGACTCAACCCTGCAGTCAGCCAAACACCTGAAGCTGATTACGGAGGTGTATTTAAGGGATGGCCAGACCTGCAGTCTGGGCCTTGGTGTGTGTTTTTCTATGGGCCCCTGTATCTTGTTACCTGCATTCCTGTTCCTGCCTGACTGACTCGTTGCCGACCCTGCCTGATCCTGACCTCTGCTGACTTCTCCTGTTTGATCCCTGGCTTGTGACCCCGACCATTCTCTGCCTGACCCCCTGTACCTACCTGCCCGTTAGTTGCTGTACCCGGCTCGTGACCTGACTACTCTCTGCCTGCTCCTCCTGTTCCTACCTGCCCGATTGTTATTGACCCGGCCTGCCTGACTACGCTTGCATTGTATGTATTGTTATCTGTGGGTGGCTTGGTTTGGTTCGTTTGCACTTTATTTATGTTTTAGTATTGCACTGCGTTTTGTATTGTTAGTATTAATAAATTATATTGTTTATAACATATCTGAAGCCTGCGTTTCCCTGCGTCAGTTCACATACCTCTGGTCATACCCGGAGCCCTGACATTACACCAAGGCCAATCCTGACCAGAAGTGGCTGCACAGGGAAGCCATCTTGGCTTGTTGCTGGGAAGGATGGATCTTGATGAGGTTGTGTATTTGTCGTTGCTGGTTTTTGATGACAGAGAATATGCTTATCAGACTCTGAGGGAGTATACCCGGGATCAAATGCTAGAATGTATACGGATCGCTCATGTTCTAGTAGATCAGGGCACAGAGTTCTCTGAGGTGCAACCTTTGATTCAGGTTTGTGTAGAGTTGGCTTCATCTGGTACCCCTGAAAGCAGGAATGACTTTTTGCCACCATTTAGTGCAGACCAGGTAGAGTATGATGGATTGGTAGAGGATGATGTGGATTGCTTCTTGGAGCATTATGCTGCATGTTCACCACAGGTATTAAGGGATTGTATAAACGCAGTGCAGTCTTTGACCAGACAGGCTTTGTGTAAGCTCAGCTTTGTTCAACCCATACTGCAGACATGGTCAGACTTGTTGCACCCAGCCTCAGTCAGCTTGCAACGTCATTCCTCTGCTCAAGTCACTCTTCCTGCATCCCCGACAGCACCCCCAGTGACGGCCCAGTATACTCTGCTAACTACCACATACCAGTCCCCTGCTCCCACTCGCTGCACCTATCCTTTCTTTAGCCCTGTGGAGAGGTCCTCTGTGGCGGCTGCTCCCTCCTCTGTTCCATCTTCCAGCTCTTCTCTGTCCTCAGCTGCTCCATTCGTTTGCAGACCTGCGTTTACTTGCAGTGCTCCAGTAGTTAAAACCAGAAAAAAGCGAAAATTCTTTCCAACCAGTACCATCCTGCCAGTATCCAAACTGGTGAGCCTGCCGTCTGAGAACCTGCCTTCCGTGGTTCAGCCTGGTGCCTTGGCACCCGCACTTCAGCCTGATGTCTGTACCCAGCCTGATGAACTGATCTAGCCTGATGATCCTATCACGCCTGATGACCCAGTGCCCGCTGTCATACCTGGTGACCCGATGACCGCTGTCGAGCCAGACGATCCAATGCCGGATGACCCAGTGCCCGCTGTCATGCCTGGTGACCCCTGTCGAGCCAGACAATCCGGTCATACCTGGTGCCCGCTGTCATACCTGGTGACCCGATGCCCGCTGTCGAGCCAGACGATCCAATGCCTGATGACCCGGTGCCCGCTGTCGATCCAGACGATCCGGTACCTGATGACCCAGTGCCCGCTGTCATGCCTGGTGACCCGATGCCCGCTGTCGAGCCAGACGATCCAACGCCAGATGACCCGGTGCCCACTGTCGATCCAGACGATCCTGGGTACCTGATGCCCGCTGTCGAGCCTGCTGTCCATGCCTGGTGACCCGATGCCCGCTGTCGAGCCAGACGATCCAATGCCTGATGACCCAGTGCCCGCTGTCATGCTTGGTGACCCGATGCCCGCTGTCGAGCCAGACGATCCAACGCCAGATGACCCGGTGCCCACTGTCGATCCAGACGATCCGGTACCTGATGACCCGGTGCCTGCTGTCATGCCTGGTGACCCGATGCCCGCTGTCGAGCCAGACGATCCAATGCCTGATGACCCAGTGCCCGCTGTCATGCCTGGTGACCCGATGCCCGCTGTCGAGCCAGACGATCCAGTGCCAGATGACCCGGTGCCTGCTGTCGAGCCAGACGATCCGGTACCTGATGACTTAGTGCCCGCTGTCGTGCCAATTGACTCAGAGCCCACTACCGTGCCTGGTGACTCGGTGCCCACTGCCTTGCCAGATGATGCGGTGCCCGCTGTCGAGCCAAATGACCTGATGCCTGGTGACCCGATGCCCACTGTCGAGCCAGACGATCCAATGTCTGACCCAGTGCCCGGTCATGCCAGTTGACTCGGAACCCACTGTCGTGCCTGGAGACTCTGTGCCTGCTGCCTTGCCAGATGATGCGGTGCCCGCTGGCGAGCCAAATGACCTGATGCCCCGATGCCCGCCGCTCCGCCTGGGGGCCCGGCACCCGCCGCTCTGCCTGGGGGCCCGGCGCCCCCGCCGCTCCGCCTGGGGGCCCGGCCCCCCGCCGCCCCTGGGGGCCCGGCGCCCCGCCCGCCCCTCCTCGCCTGGGGGCCTGCTGCCCCGCCCCGGTGTCCGCCCCGTGCCCGCCCCGGTGTCCGCCCGATGGTGCCTCTGCCCGGAGTCCAGCCCGATGTGCCTCTGCCCGGAGTCCAGCCCGATGTGCCTCTGCCCGGTGTCCAGCCCGATGTGCCTCTGCCCGGAGTCCAGCCCGATGTGCCTCTGCCCGGTGTCCAGCCCGATGTGCCTCTGCCCGGAGTCCAGCCCGATGTGCCTCTGCCCGGAGTCCAGCCCGATGTGCCTCTGCCCGGAGTCCAGCCCGATGTGCCGCTGCCCGGAGTCCTGCCCGATGTGCCGCTGCCCGGAGTCCTGCCCGATGTGCCGCTGCCCGGAGTCCTGCCCGATGTGCCGCTGCCCGGAGTCCTGCCCGATGTGCCGCTGCCCGGAGTCCTGCCCGATGTGCCGCTGCCCGGAGTCCTGCCCGATGTGCCGCTGCCCGGAGTCCTGCCCGATGTGCCGCTGCCCGGAGTCCTGCCCGATGTGCCGCTGCCCGGAGTCCTGCCCGATGTGCCGCTGCCCGGAGTCCAGCCCGATGTGCCGCTGCCCGGAGTCTTGCCCGATGTGCCGCTGCCCGGAGTCCAGCCCGAGTGCCGCTGCCCGGAGTCCTGGCCCGATGTGCCGCTGCCCGGAGTCCTGCCCGATGTGCCGCTGCCCGGAGTCCTGCCCGATGTGCCAGTCTTTGATATCCCGCCAGTTACCAGACCCGGGCGGTGGAACATTTTGCCCAGCTAGGACTGTTTGGAGCGTCCTGAGGCCGCTCCTTGAGGGGGGGGGTACTGTCAGAAAATGGACTTGCCACTAATGGTGGGACTCACCTGCCTTGTGGGCTGCAGTACCAGGGCAGGCCAGCGGGTGCTCTCAGCAATCAGAGACTCAACCCTGCAGTCAGCCAAACACCTGAAGCTGATTACGGAGGTGTATTTAAGGGGTGGCCAGACCTGCAGTCTGGGCCTTGGTGTGTGTTTTTCTATGGGCCCCTGTATCTTGTTACCTGCATTCCTTTTCCTGCCTGACTGACTCGTTGCCGACCCTGCCTGATCCTGACCTCTGCTGACTTCTCCTGTTTGATCCCTGGCTTGTGACCCCGACCATTCTCTGCCTGACCCCCTGTACCTACCTGCCCGTTAGTTGCTGTACCCGGCTCGTGACCCCACTACTCTCTGCCTGCTCCTCCTGTTCCTACCTGCCCGATTGTTATTGACCCGGCCTGCCAGACTACGCTTGCATTGTATGTATTGTTATCTGTGGGTGGCTTGGTTTGGTTCGTTTGCACTTTATGTTTTAGTATTGCACTGCGTTTTGTATTGTTAGTATTAATAAATTATATTGTTTATAACATATCTGAAGCCTGCGTTTCCCTGCGTCAGTTCACATACCTCTGGTCATACCCGGAGCCCTGACACTGTTTCAGTGTAGCAATATTCTTGGGATGTCTGGTGTGAATCGCTCTCTTAAGGTCATGCCACAGCATTTCCATCGGGTTGAGGTCAGGACTCCAGAAGGCGTATTCTGTGCTGTTGCAGCCATTGGTTTGTTGAATTACTTGTATGCTTTGGGTCCATGTCCTGTTGCATCACCCATCCTCTGTGGAGCTTCAGTTGGTGGACAGATGGTCGTACGTTTTCCTGCAAAATGTCTTGATAAACTCTGGAATTCATTTTCCCATCAATGACAACAATCCGTCCAGGCCCTGAGGCAGCAAAGCAGCCCCAAACCATGATGCTCCCTCCACCATGTTTTACAGTGGGGATGAGGTTTTGATGTTGTGTGGTGTGCTGTGCCTTTTTTTCTCCACACATAGTGTTGTGTGTTCTTCCCAAACAACTCAATCTTGGTTTCATCTGTCCACAGTATATTTTGCTAGTAGCGCTGTGGAACATCCAGGTGCTCTTTTGCAAACTTCAAACGTGCTGCAATATTCTTTTTGGACAGCAATGGCTTCCTCCGTGGTGTCCTCCCATGTACTCTGTTTTCCTTATTGTAGATGTTTCAACAAAAATGTTAGCATGTGCCAGAGATTTCTGTAGGTCTTTAGCTGACACTCTGGGATTCTTCCTTACCTCATGCAGCATTCTGCGCTGTGCTCTTGCAGTCATTTTTACAGGACGACCACGCCTAGGGAGAGTAGCAACAGTACTAAACTTTCTCCATTTGCAGACACTCTGTCTTACCGTGGACACATGAACATCAAGGCTTTTGGAGATACTTTTGTAACCCTTCCCAGCTTCATGCAAGTCAACAATTCTTGATCGTAGGTCTTCTGAGAGCTCTTTTCTGCGAGGCATGGTTCACATCAGACAGTGCTTCTTGAAACCAGTAAACCCAAAATAGGTGTGTGTTTTTTAAGGGCAGGACAGCTGTCAGCAACACATCCAATATCATCACACTGATTGGAGTCAAGGTTGGCTCACTCCTGGCTCCAATTAGCTCTGGGAGAAGTCATTAAGCTAGGGCAGCAATGGGCAAAACGGCCCGCGGCCCGGCGGACCTTTTAATCCGGCCCGCGGAGCGTGATGTGAGGCTGTCAGGATGTGTGTAGGCGGGGCAGCGTGACGAACGTGAGGGGAGCTAGGCTCCTCTCACAGTCCGCCCTGAAGACCAGAACGGCGCGGGAACACGGCGAGAGGAACGCGCGGAGCAAAGGTAAGTAAATTGACACGGGGGGACTTACTATAGGGGGGTATGAATTACTATATGGGGGATGAATTACTATGGGGGATGAATTACTATATGGGGGATGAATTACTATATGGGGGATGAATTACTATATGGGGGATTAATTACTATGCTTACTATGGGGGAATATTACTATACTTACTATGGATGACACATACACATCATTCATCTACTCTTGGTCCGGCCCCCGGGTCCAATATATGAACCCATTACGGCCCTCAAGTCAAAAAGTTTGCCCACCCCTGAGCTAGGGCCTCACATACTTTTTCCTCCCTGCACTGTGAATGTTTACATGTTATGTGCAATTAAACCATGGCAACATCTAATGTTTGTGTAGTATTATGTTCAGCAGACTGTGTTCTTCTATTGTTGTGACTTAGATGACGTTCAGAGCACATTTTATGCCCAACTCCACGTAATCCCAAGGGCTTCACATAATTTTCTTGCAACTGTATAAATACACAGAGAGCAATAACACAGCAAAGAGGTATTAGAAAGAAGTTTAGAGAGGTAGAGTACTTGCCAAAAGTCCTGGGTTAAGCAGATAAAGTTTCAGAGCAAAAGGGCACAGTCTCCCAAGTTGGTTCTGATGTTAAAAGGGAGACTTTTTCAATTTCCACTCTTAGGCCTGACAGCCTATTTTGTAGTCCCCCAGCAGGGCGTGCCTCTGAAGCCAAGGACCAATGCCTCATTTGGGGAGGGGTTGTCTAGGAGGAAACCCAAGCTAGAACCAAAATCTCTCCTAGCTTATAGTTTGGCTCCTAACTTTTCCAAGGCACAAGTAACATTCCACCCGCGGGTAGATTAATATGCAGACGCATCTGCGGAACGGTTAGATATGAAATATGAAACACATACTTGAATGATTCAAGAGATGTAATTTTCTGCTTTCCTATATATTCCAGCCAAGGAGTGTGACATATCAAACGGTTTGTCTCTCTCGTGACCAATCTGAAGATATGCCTGATTTTTATGCAAGTCTCTCATATTTCAAGATATAAGACAGAGGGAAAATGGATTTTAAAAGTGGTATCTAGTTTATGGCTCCTCTGGAATGTCTTTGAACTCAGGGGGAGGCTTGGGTTATACTTTTACGAGGTGCCAGATTGCACAGTTTCTTAGATAGCCCAGCACCCAGCTCTGAGAGGTTTTATAGCTCGGAGCTACCTGCTGTGCTCTGGCCTGCCTGTGACACTTCCAACACACACCGACCACGTCACTGTGGATCTCAGAGAGGGAGGGGGATGAGGAAAGATATTTGTACAAGATGGATGATCGTTTGCCAAGATAGAGGTTGGAGCAAAATGGTATAACCGTGTCCATCTCTGTGTGCACGATTGCTACAGGACAGATGTACTTTCCCAGGCCTGAGCAATTGTTCTAGTTGCCGACAAGAACAAATAGGAAGCAAACTGCTGCTGGTGAGCCAACAAGCCCGATATGGGACAATGAAGCATAGCATACCGAGCTTCCCGGCATATAGAGAGATGGAACAAAGTGTAAAAAAGGCCAAAGACACAAGACCAAAAACAAATCAGTCTCGGGCAAGACCACCATAAATGCAACACATCTCCACGATGGCCGCAACCCCGAAAGCAGAGATCACTATAGGCAGGGTTCGCCTGGGCTATACGAGCGGGACCCAATACCAACTAACAGTATTTTATATGCCGCCTCCAGCGTGGCTGTATTAAATGAACATTTAGCTATAATCGACCAGGCCTTATTCCAGTCCTCTAGATCCACGACTGCCCCCAAGCCACACTCCCACTGAGTGACATATGATAGAGAAGTACGCATTGACCGTAGTACGAAGTACGCAAGGATGCATAGAGTTGAGAAACAAGACCCGGGGCGCCCGGACACTGTTGGGAAAGGCAGATTTATGATATGGAAAGGCGGAAGTGCCAAGCAGAGAGGTCAGCCAGTGCCGCAGTTGAAAGGAACGATAAAATTGAGGGACATCCCATGATTTTGAAGAGAGTTTCAGATGGGGGAAGGACTGAGAAGTCAAAAAGTGTTGCACCTGCGAAAAACCATTGGCTATCCACGGGGGCCTGCAAATAGCTGGTCCTGACTAGGGCACAAAATAGTCTAGGAACGGCTCTGCCTTTACTATACAATTAGGTTTTGAATGTATTTCAGTGAACCTGGTTTACTCCAGGTGATGATTTTGTGAGTGTCTGGAAAAAAAAGTTTTTTTGTTTTCCATATAAAAACGTACTGGAACACACGTGAATGCACTGCAAAGGCAAGTAAGTGCAACCTAAATGCAGCCTAAACACACATCACATGCATTACAAGTGCATGCATATGCAGAATTGAATGCAGGGAATTACAGTGTAAATGAGCCCTTAAAGGAACCACCTGTAATCTCTATTGGAAATCTGGAAAAAAGTGACAGGGTGACAATTCTTGAGCACATGGGGAAGACAGGGACAGTGCATTCTCACATAATAACTAAAATAACTTTTGAAATTGTATTAACATGTCATGAGGTTATATGAGATTTTAGTAACTGGATTTACATGTACTTTAAGCCAAAGGTAAATTAAAAAAAA